CCCCCACCCTACATGTTTAATTGTTAAATAAGCTTTTTAAAACCACAACAGAAAAAGAAAATATTTTATTTTTATTTTACATGTGTTATTTATTTTTGTCAGATTCATCTATTCATATCTTCTCCTCCACCATCAGCCTAAGAATATGAGATGAAGATTATTTGATGTGGTGCCTAAATGTTTCTGCAGAGGGAGGAGTAAGTGGACTTCCTGGCAGAGGCAAAGCTTTCCGTATTTCATCGCCTCTTCTCTGCCAATACAGCAGAATCATAACGGCAGATAACTATATCAGCACTATTTAAAAGATAAAGATGCCAAAGTCTGCACAGATTCTTTGTAGAGGAACCAGACATCGCTCAAACGATATGTTGTTGTAACTGATCCCTTCCATATCACAGTAATTGCAGTGATGGGAGATACTGCTACCTGTAAATATGACGAGGGCTGCTGACAGCTTGTGTGAATCATTGAAAAGATTAATTATTACAGACAGCTCTGTGGGCTGGGACATGCAGACACACAGACTGCACCTGTATTCTATTCCAACGCACACCCGTCCTCTTCCTGTGTGGCTAATGGCGTTGTCCTGGCAAAATTAATTAACTGATGTACTTCCGTCTGTCAGGAGGCCCTGCACAATTAATCACGTGGGGAATGAGACAATGCAGGGCACCTATAAATCCAATTCACAAGTTTGTAGCGCTGTGTTCAGCCCTCAGTCTAAGCCCTATGGATTAGATGTCAAGTGGCTCATAACTCAACAGAAGGTGCAGTAAAATCAAGTCCATCTTAAACCAAAATATGCCTTTGGGTGTTTAGGGGTCACTTGTCTCTTAATTTGATGTTAGTGCCATAAAGTGTTCACTGAGGACCTGTGGCTTTGCTTCATGCAGTCTTACTCATTTAAATGAAATAACCCATGAAGACAGCTCCTTCTTGGCATGGAAAATAAAGTATCAATGGGCTAGAAGATCCATTTGAGCACAAAAAGCTTGCTTTCAAAATCATATGAAAATACAGTGATAAACATTCGATTTTGCACATATGTTTGTATGTCAATAGATGTTGTATCCTAACCGTGGCAGTATCCTAATGTGGTAGTGCAAACTTCTTGACCATAGAGATATGCTAAGGATTCATTGTCAGCATCTTTGATATTCCACCCACATACTGAAACGCTTTAGTTTCTGACCTGTGTGTCTAATTTTTGATGAAAACACATTTATAGAGAAACATCTTATTATTAAAATGTAGTTCAAGGCTTAGATGAGGTTAACATTTACCCCTGAGACCACATGGCATTGTATGGTATGACTGGATCTGAGTGTGATTCTCCATTGGTCTGAAATGTTTTATTTTTTTAAATAGAGAAAATAAAGAAATACGGGAATTATAGGTTTTGTGGAAATGAGCACAAACAACCAAGACAAATCATTTAAAACGCTGAAAAATAGTCCCCACACTTTAGAAAAAACATTTTATTTACATTTACAGCATGTACCGAATGAACTACTATCTCTGGTATTTTATATTTTTTTCACGGTTAACGCTTAGTTAGCTGTATCCCCATAGCATTATGAATTGATCAGCAAATATGTAGTTTGACAGAAATATTATTGGTTATTTTCAATAACAGTTCTTGTAGAAATATGTCAATAAAGAGACATTCTCTTGCCAAAAAATTGCTTCAGTTCAGCATAGAAAACTAATAACAAACAAACAAACAAACAAACAAACCACAAGAAGAAAATGAAACAGAATCCGCTTAGTCCAACACCACAGCTTTTCCATGTAGGCCATGTAGGTTTCAGTGAGCTATCATAGTAGCTTCTGTAACTGATGCAGTGCTCAGGAACACTGAAGCAGGAGCAAGCTAGCATTCATGTACAGATCCTCTGAAAACAGAAACATTTTCGTCTTTTTTTTCAACAGCACAATGCTGTTTTTTTGTGTCCCAATGTATCCCATCGATTATGTACAATAAAAATGGTAGGAACATTTTTAATTGGATACAAAAAAGAATTAATTGATTAAAAAACACTTATGCTGGGAAGCAACAGTTGATCCTTTATGAAATGCTTAACATGTGGTTACAATTCATCTTCCATATATGAATGGCAATGAGGGTGAAAATAAAAGACTGGGACCACCAAAAAATGAAACGTAAAGAATTATACGTAAAGCAAAGATGTACAATAAAAATTTACACATTCAGTAGATGCTAAATGATCAAATGTAAGAGTTCGTCTTTACATAAAAATAGTTGGGACATTTTGTAAAATACAATCAAGAATCTGTGATTTGTGAATTCTCTTTCAACTTTATTTAACTGACAAAACTAGAAAATTTTTCCAATGTTTTCACCGAACAACGTGATTGCATTTTCTCAATAAAACACATTTTGATTTTGATGGCTGCTACACACTCAAAAAAAAATAAAAAAATAAAAGTTGGAACAGAGGCAAAATAAAAGTGAAAATATTAAAGAACATCCAAGGTAATCTATTTTGAAACAGTCCACAATAAGTATGTAAATTGGTAATAGGTGTGGGTAACGTGACTGAGCGTAAAAGGAGCATCTCAGTCTTTTCAAGCAAAAGATTGGTCATGGTTCAGCCCTTTGTGCCAAAATATGACATAATTGTCAAACAATTCAAAAATCACATTTCTCAATGCAAGATTGTAAAGAATTTATGTCTTACACCATCTACCATACATAATTTTGTGAAGGGATGAAGAAAATCCAGAAAAAAATGAGGCAGGAGTGTGCTTGTGAGCCCTCAGATGGCATTTCATGAGAAACCGTCATACAACTGTGTTAAATACAGCGATGTGGGCTCGGTAGTAAGACCATTGCCACTTAACATAGTCTGCTGCTGCATCAAGAAATGCAACTCCAATCTGATACACAAGGAGAAATCTTTACATCAGTTCAATGCAGAGATGCTGCCTGAGTTCTCTTAGCCCGAGCTTATCTCAGATTTCCAAAACACAATGGAGAGGAGTCCACATTGGGAAAAATGGACATTGAGTTCTCAGGCTGAAAGAGACCAGCCAGACTTTCATCAGCGAACATCTGCACTGTAAAAATGAATATGCTTTATCTAAAAAAAAAAAAAAAAAATGTGGCAACAGATTACAAGCAATATTATTAATTAAATGTAACAAATTAGAATTGAGTAATAGTTAATCAAATTAATTCCTTAAAAGTTAACCAAATAAAATAGTAAAACTATTACAAATTAAAAACTATTAGTAAAACTTACAACAACCAATTTTAAGTCACCATTATGGTGATCAGTGTTTGTTTTAAAATTACGTTTTTCAGTGATTTCTGCTTGTTAACATCAGGTGTCTTCAATGTTGGCAATATAAAATAAATAGTTCTTAATTAATCTTTGATGTCTGTCTGTTAGTGAGATATTTTTGTTAATTTGTTTTTGTGTAAACTTTACTCATTTTAAATGTTTAACTTACTGTAATTATATTGCTTGTAATCTGTTGCCACAATTCTACTGATTAGATAAAGCACATTCATTTTTACAGTGTGTCATGGTATGGGGGCGCAAATGACATGGGTGACTTGCATGTGTGAGAAGGTACCACTGACATGGAGGCATATGGGATTGTGCAGAGACATTTAATGGCATCAAGACGACATCTTTCCTGGGAAGTAAGACAACGCCAGGCCTCAGTCTGTATGTGCTACAACAGAGTGGTATACACTATACTGTAGAGTTGATGTGCTTGACTGGTCTGCCAGCAGTCCAGATCTGATTCTTATTGAAAATATATAGCCCACAATGGCAAGGAAAATGACCATTGACTGCTGAGCAGGGTTCTTGTAGTAGGCTAGATTGGGGAAAAAATCCACAAATAGCATCATCAACTCCCAAACAATTGAAAAGTGTAATTAAAAGCAAGGGTGATGGTAAACATGCCTCTGTCCAAACTTTTGTGTGTTGCAGATCAAAATTTGTTTATATTTACAAAATATAATAAAGTGAAAACATTGTAAAGCTTTTTTGGGGCACTTTTGTCAGTTAAATAAAGTGGAAAGAGAATTCACAAATCAGATTTTTGATTTTATTGCATTTTAAAAAATGTCCAAAATGTATTTTGTATTTTGGGCTCTATTTAAAATGAAACTTGTCAGCACATGTGATGAATTAGAGGTATATTCTTCATGTACTTTTCTGATGTCTTTGACATATGAACCTATTAGGTTTACTTCAGCAGTTGACTGGTGAGACCAGTATCATCTTCTTATCATGTCGTCCAAAATTATTAAAAGGGAGAAGAGAAATATCACACATAATCTTTTATCAATCTTTTGAGAAAGCAATACACAAGCTGGTGAAAAACAGAGTTTCATGGTAAAGCATACAACCCTTTGCACATGTAGACACAACGACACGTTCACACACTCGTCATCATCATCATGTTAGGTGAGGTATGCTGTTGCTAGTCAAATAAACCATACAAGAGTTCTTTTCAAAATACAGAAAAACAGAATGAACGTAATATTCTACAGACAATGGTAAAATAATAACTGATGGTACAGTATGGGGCAGATACAACTCACAAACATATAAAAGCACACATTCACAGTAAAAAAACCCAAACATGTGGTTAAAAAATCCCTTCTATTGAAAATAATGCAGTTCTCAAATAAACAATACACGTTCAATGCACTAGGCGGCGGCGCACTCTGATTTTGTCCAGTGTGTTTTTCACTAGGTTTCCATAGTGACATTAACAGGCTACTTTTTGTTTCATTATTTATTTCCCCATAGCCATTTTTGTCTTAAAGCCGCAAAAATCGTTACAATTTCAATTTCTTGTATTTCACGATCATATCCCATACACGTGACATTGGGGCCATATTTGAACTACCCTGATATTCACTAATGTATATAAATTATGTGTTATATTCATAGTTCTGTGGCATTTACAGTTATAAATATATTTACAGATTTGTTTTTTTTTTTTTGGGGGGGGGGGGGGGGTTTGTGCTAAATTTCAAATGCCACACTTTAGATAATAACTTGACTTAAGAACTGTAATTCAAAGCAATTATACAAACCTATTTTCTAAATTGAAGTCAATTGATGTGTGTTCAGAACAGTACTGTAGCTTCTATAAATTCTAGAAATGTTTCCTTTCACACTAGCTGCATTTTCAGCATAATCCAGGGCCTGATAATGAAAGCTTTCCCTTTTTTTGTTCAGTAATAGGATTTTTCATGGGGAAATGTAACCATTTATACACCTCTCTAGAGTCGCTGCATCCATCAGGCCCACCATTCAAGTGCTAAGTGCTCTATGCGATTTAAAGTCTGCAGTTTTCAGTGGCCAGTTTTTGTTTCCACTGTCTCAAAAAATGAAAACACACTGGAGCAAAGGGATGTAATATGCCACAACAAAAAAGAACAAAACAAAAAAACAAAAAAAAGCAACAACTGTTGTCTCATTGCTCTCAAAAGCATGGCAGTTGACCTTAATTCTACTAGCACATTAAAGTAAACCATTGATTACCCCAGTTTACAAAATATAGAACTGAAAAAGAAAAAAAAAATATTAACATTTTTTGTCTTATGATTTCATGATTCAGTCACTTCACATATCTTTAAATAAATAAGATTTGTAAAGACACTTGTTAAAATAATGATACATACACCCCGGCTCTCATTGACATTGCTGAACGTCTTAACGACAGCATGTCCACAACCAAAATTTAAACAGCACTGGTAGAATTAATTTCATCCAAGATGGTCAAATTTGTGTCTCCTGTACATTATCCTTTGAGCTGGCTTGGATCAGTAAAGGTTCATGCACTGAACTATGCAGCGAGCTAAGAGCAGACACATGGTTATAAGCAGTTTTGTAGGAGTTATAGTGGTTGTAATGCTCATGCTCTAAGGGCGGAAGAGTCAGGTGACTCTCCATGCCCGGAACCCTCGTCAGCTCCTCGTGGACGTTGATGATCTCAATGGTGCGGGTCGGCCCATCATGATCCTGCTGGTGGTGCTGCTTGCGCATCTTGTAGAATATTATAAGCATGACGGCAGCCATGAGCGTGATGGCCACAAAGCAGCCAATAATAATCTTGGTGGTTTTCATTACCTCCTCCAAACCATTGAGAGCGCCATCAATGTCTATGTCAGTCACAGGAATAGTATACGCTCTCTCGGTGGCAATGGGTGTTCCCCTTGTGGTCGAGGAGGATGCCCAGCCAAATGAAGGCTGAACCGGCGTCCTACTCTCCCCATCGATAGGGGTTTCGATTGTCTCTACGGTGACTGTAGTGAAGTAACTAAAGCCACTGTTGTCAACGGATGTCACGTTGAGGACAGCAGAGGCTGAAATGTTGCCTTGCATGTTGCTTACGATGCAAGTGTATGTTCCTGTGTCCTGGACGGTGACGTTGGTGAAGTTTAGCGTTCCGTCGTTTTGGACAGAAATGCGCATTTTGAGCACCCCATGTGTTATGACGGAGCCATCTGGCGTTAGCCAGCTGACCGAGGTCACTGAATTTGTCCGACATTTGAGCTCTGCCGCCATTCCCTCAGTCAAATTGAGGTCAGCAGGTGGTTCGACGATAACGGGGGCGTAGCACTGAAAGTAGCTCTGGTCCAGCTCACCGATGTAGCGTCCTTTGAGGCTGGGAGGGGAATTGCAGCGTGCGCAGCAGCTGGTGTTCGTTGGTACGGTCTCTCTTAGCCACCAGCTCAGCCAAAGAATATCACAGTTACAGTTCCAGGGATTATGATGCAAATGCACTCGTTGCAAGTGGTGCAAAGGCGTGAAGAGATCATGGGGCAAAAAAGAAAGGTTGTTGTGAGCCAGGTTGAGCTCTCGCAAAGAGTGCAGGTCATCCAAGGAGTTCCGCTCTATAAACTGGACTTGGGCGTGCATCATCCACAGCTTTTGAAGATGGACAAGACCCTTAAAAGAACTGGGTTGGATGACGGTGAGCTGGTTCCCGGACATCTCCAGCTCATCCAGGCGAATCAAGGGCTGAATGTTGGGGACCTCTTTGAGGTTACACATGCCCAGATTCAGGTAGCGAAGGTTGCTCAAGCCCTGAAATGCTCCACTCGAGATGTAGGAGAGACGCTTCAGCTCTCCCAAGTCCAACCGCCGCAGGGAGGGCAGGCGACTGAAGGCATCAGACGGTATGCTCTCAATAGGGTTATTCCTAAGCCACAGCTCTTTCAGTTTTGATAGATACTCAAAGGCGCCATTTGGGATGGTCGTGAGGCGATTGTCAAAAAGCTCCAGAGTGTTAAGGCTGGTTAGGCCATTGAAGGCGCCAATCTCGATGTTGCGGATGTGGTTTCTGCTAAGCTGAAGAATCTCAAGGTGTCGTAGATGCTTGAAACTGTCCACTTTGATGACTTGGATTTGATTGTCCTGAAGGTTTAGATACCGTGTATTTGTGGAGATGCCATCAGGGACATCCTTTAGCCCTCTGCGTGTGCAGATGACCTTACTAAATTGATTACTGCAGGAACATACAGATGGACAGGTCTGGGCTCGCACCAATCCGGCGACAACAAGCAACTGTAGGGCTAAAAGCAGGAGAAACAAGGGGTCAAACCAAGCCCCTTTCCATCTAGGACCTCTCAACATCTGGCGCTGATGGTAAGAGGTCATCTTGTACAACATTCATAATTTAATGCCAGCTGATTTTCTCTCCCCAAACATTTATAGGCAGTCTGAAAAAGAGGAAGAGGAAAATAAATCTGTTAGCAAAATGTGTCATAGTGAGCGTCAGTGTAGCATGATGGCAGTCAAACAAAACATCACATTCCGCTGATGTTCGGCAATTTTTTACAACAAAAGGAACATTCTTCCGTCAAATGGTGCTGCATGTACTGTACATTACTGATATCTGATGATGTTGGAAAAAAAATGTTTAGGCAATCTACATGCAATTTATAGTTCTCCAATGTGGCTGATAAATTAAGCAGTTACTGTCACAGTAGTTTAATGAGCCTGCACACAGAAACACACCACAAATAATTCAAAGAATAAAGGACGGAAAGATGTAATTTTCTTGATTGTTTTTTGGTTGTTTTTGCACTGTATATAGCAGACACAAGCTTAGTCAAGTATTGAACTTTGACCTAACCTAAGTTTCTTTGTAGTTGGTTTCAAAAGAGAATAATAAAATGTAATTTTATTGCAGGAACATCATTTATTCAAGGAAAAACTAAACTAAAGAAAATGCTTTTGTGATTTTCTTGTAATGTTGTGCTTTTACATTATTTATATTATAAGTACAAACACTCCTGAATCTTGTTTGCTATGCACTAAAATTAGATATATGGAAATCCTGTCACAGCAAGCTGTCAGAGGGATGGATTAAGCTGCAGACAGGTTCACCACTGGGCATATCTAGGAGATAAGGATGTGTATTTGGCTTGTATATTCAGCACTCTTTGCTTGCACATACTATGAAAATACATAGAAACTGAATTGTCAAAACCCACAAGAAATGTGCCACTGCTACAGCACACACTAAATTTAAAATTCCTTCGCCTCTCTGCAGTCTCTGCTCTCATTATCTTCTCAGGTGTTCTAATGAAAAATAAGATAAGATACCTATTCTGTTTGCAAATAGGTTACTTTAATCAGTATTCCCATTAATAAAGAGAAGGAAATAAAAGGAGAGAGAAATTTAGGACCCCAGACAAGTCTCTAACAAACTCACTTTGACAAGCAAAATTAAATTTCAGTGTATTATGAAAGGAAACCGAGAAGTCTTGAAATGAATGCTTTCATTTACAAGATCAAGCAAGCTCTGTCATAAATACAACATTTTACTCTCAGAATCTCCCACCATAGTAGGAAAGTAAATCAAGTATGAGACGGAGAGCTTTCCGATCAAAATGGCAAAAAGAGCGGAAGTCGTATGGAATTACTTTTGTGCTAATAATAATCAACGTAACTTCTGAAAATATGAGATATTTGCATTATATGAAGAAACTAATGCAAATATAAACTGAAACTGAATAAAATATCTGTTAAACCAAAAAAAGCTCAGTTTTTAATAAACAGCATGTTTTTTTAAAATGTTTTCACATCGTTCTTTCGCTGATCTGAACTTACAAATGCACTTCCAGACTTTTCATTTATGCATGTGAAGTTTTCATAAATGCTCCCTAAATTTTGATTCACCATTTTGGTACATATCTCTCGTGGGGGCGGGGCTAGCAGCACTAAGTTGAGTCATTGGCCACTGAGTTTTTGATTGACAGCTTCTTGACCAGGAAGTAAAGATTGTTAATTAGATCCTATTTACTTTGATTAGATCATATTTCCCCCAGCCACCCCAAATCATTGGGATAGAATACTGTACAGTATCTGTACTGTACAAAACAAAAAGTACTGTATTTGACAAAAAGTTTAGGAGGGCAGAGGTGCAGAGCCAAACTTGGGCCATGGAACGTGGGCAGAGCAGGCGACCAGGGCGGAGCAGGGAGTTCAGGCGGCCACGGCAGTGAATACCTTTCGGGCAGCCACAGCGGTGAGGATCTTTTGGGTGGCCTTGGGCCCCTGGGCAGCCACGGCGAGGGCCTACAGCTAAGGGCTAGGCGCCAGCTCAGGAACATACACCTGCTCAGGAGGGGCAGACACTGGCTCAGCGAACGTGACTTGAACAGTCTCTGGCTGAGCAGACAGGACGTGGACAGTCCCTGGCTGGGCAGACAGAGGGCCAGGAGCTTGGGCAGTGCAGGCAAAAGGCCTCTGGGGTAACTGGTGGTTCAGGTACAACCTCCGGGGACTGTGGGGCGCAAGGAGTCTTCTTCCTCGTCCTCCTCCTCTTCCATCTCCGATCGTGAGGACACTGAGCTATTGAAGATCAATAATGAAGACTTGAGACTGGATGGGACCAGTGGTGAAGGCTCTGGACTGGTCTGGGCCAGCGGTGAGACCTCAGGCTTGACAGGAATAAGCTGTAGGCAGGACTAACATGAAAGAACTCAGGTTCAGGGGGTACTGTGGGTTTGTGAGCGTCATCTGCCAAGCCCACATTAAATGCCGAACCACTCAGTAAAAAGGCCACGTCAATTTACTGCTCAATGGTCCTATTTGAGTCATGGAGTGGCATCAGGTAGCTAAGCGGCTCAGAAAGACCTGACGGAGACACATCAGTTCTGCTGCTGGATTCAAGTTTGGTGAATTCTTCTGTAATGATGCGGTAGAAACAAGGAGGAAGCAGGATCCACATGCTGCACACTTTATTCTATAAACTAAAAACAATACAAAGACTCAGACCAGGAAATGGACTGACCCCAGAAGCAGTACAACCAACAGTAACAACACAACATCAAGAACTCTGCTGGGGTAAACGAGCTAGACAGGATAACAAGGGGGCTTGGTTAATGGGAAACACTTGGGATGACTAAGAGGCAGACAGGGAATCACTAAACATGACAAGACAAACCCACACTGTTACAAATACACACAAGTAATTATGACTGAAAACATCCAGCAACCAGGGAATACACACAGCAATGGATATATATGAAGAGTTCAGATGCAAAAGCCTCTAAATGCCATTTGAAATTTTCTTCTAAAATGACCATTTTTATCAAGCTTGTATATTTAAGTTCAGTAATTTCACTTAAATGGCAATGAAGATTACCTATTAATTGTCATTTAAGTGAAATTACTGAACTTAAATATACAAGCTTGATAAAAATGGTCATTTTAGAAGAAAATTTCAAATGGCATTTAGAGGCTTTTGCATCTGAACTCTTCATATTTATAAATATAGGGCTACAGCCATCTATTGGTTACACAACAGTATAACAGATAATAAATGGTGCATGAGGTATATTTATTTAGTACTGTACAATCCCTACTAGAGATTACATAGACGTACCAGAGATTCATCAGACAGTAATTTTACTTAGTTCAGACACATCACCTTTGAATGACTGGGATCTTGATTTTAAGACACTTGATATTATCAGAGCCGATCCTGACCTTCCTGCATTGGGCCCAAAGCAAAAATCGGATTAGGGGTCGGATTAGTGGTGTGGAGTGCGTAAATTTTACACGACAAAAAGTGCGTATATGCACGCAAAAAATAATTTTGGCGGGCCCTACGCAGCTTGTGTGCGTATAGGGAGGATCGGCTCTGGGTATTATGCAAATATTTTTATTTCTTTGGAGCTCCAGATTAAAACAAACACAGTTCACAGTATACACACCCTTAGAGGTGTGTATCATCTGACAGCAAGCAACAATTGTAATTTTAAAATTGTTTAAATTCCTTTTAATTAAGTGATCATTGATTGTGATGTTGTAAATGCATATGCTAACAATGAGTATTTGGATGGCCATAGTTGCCAACCCTGATTAACTGGTTTAAGCGAAACTTTCTTGATGGATGAATATAAATGGACTGCATTTACAGTATATATAGCGCTTTCACAGACCCAGTGGCCACCATATATATAAAAATATATATATATACACACACACATATACACATATACACACACACTCACCTAAAGGATTATTGGATTATAACACCTGTTCAATTTCTCATTAATGCAATTATCTAATCAACCAATGACATGGCAGTTGCTTCACTGCATTTAGTGGTGTGGTCCTGGTCAAGACAATCTCCTGAACTCCAAACTGATTGTCAGAATGGGAAAGAAAGGTGATTTTGAGCGTGACATGGTTGTTGGTGCCAGACGGGCCGGTCTGAGTATTTCACAATCTGCTCAGTTACTGGGATTTTCACACACAACCATTTCTAGGGTTTACAAAGAATGGTGTGAAAAGGGAAAAACATCCAGTATGCGGCAGTCCTGTGGGCGACAATGCCTTGTTGATGCTAGAGGTCAGATGAGATTGGACCGATCGACTGATTCAAGCTGAGAAGAGTATGAAATAACCACTCGTTACAACCGAGGTATGCAGCAAAGCATTTGTGAAGACACAACACGCACAACCTTGAGGCGGATGGGGTACAACAGTAGAAGACCCCATCGGGTACCACTCATCTCCATTACAAATAGGAAAAAAAGGCTACAATTAGCTCACCAAAATTGGACAGTTGAAGACTGGAAAAATGTTGCCTTGTCTGATGAGTTTCTGTTGAGACATTCAGATGGTAGAGTCAGAATTTGGCAAATCAGAATGAGAACATGGATCCATCATACTTGTTACCACTGTGTAGGCTGGTGGTGGTGGTGTAATCTAAGCGTGATGTTTTCTTGGCACACTTTAGGCCCCTTATAGTGCCGATTGGGTATCGTTTAAAAACCTGAGCATTGTTTCTGACCATGTCCATCCCTTTATGGCCACCATGTACCCATTCTCTGATGGTTACTTCCAGCAGGATAATGCACCATGTCACAAAGCTCGAATCATTTCAAAATGGTTTCTTGAACATGACAATGACTTCACTGTACTAAAATGGCGTCCGCAGTCACCAGATCTCAACCCAATAGAGCATGTTTAGCACAGGAGCTTTATGCCCTGGATGTGCATCCTACAAATGCTATCCTATCAATATGGGCATTTCTAAAGAATGCTTTCAGTAGAATTAAGGCAGTTCTGAATGCGAAAGGGGGTCAAACACAGTATTAGTATGGTGTTCGTAAAAATCCTTTAGGTGAGTGCATATATAATATCACGTATACTGGTAGAACAGCTCAACCTAATCAGAGCCTACAATGCAGAAGAATCA